AGGAGAGACCGGTCCTTGGAGAAGGACATCATGCTTGGGAGGGTGGAGGGACAGCACAGGAGGGGAAGGCCCTCTATGAGGTAGATTGATTCAGTGACTGAGGTAATCGGGATGGGTGTGTCAGAGACAGTGTGATTGGCACAAGACAGCAGAGTTTAGGGCTGTTGTACATAGGGTCACTATGACGGCACATAACAACAACAATAATAAGAGTTAAGTGGTTAAGCCAAGCGGTGTTTTTAGGGTTTTTCTCCCCCAATAGTTGTTTTGTTCCTCTTTTTAATTCCATAGTTTAATTTTTATTCCCTGGTTTTCTATGTTTTCTTATGCCATAGTGATAGCCATGTGCGAATGCTAGAGGACTGTGTGCAGGAAACAATACATGAGCATAACAAGCTTGCTGCAAATTCAGATCAGTGAGTATGATCCATCAGAGTAAATTTTAAATTCTATACTTGCCTTTTCTTTCTAATAATTATAAATTATATTGATTGCTAAGAGTCTCTTTAATTGTGTGCTGTCTAATAAACTAGTAAAAAAATAAGGGATCACAAACTCATTTTTCTGTTCCCCTATTATTTTACAATTTTGCTATTTTGTCCACAAAATATCATTAGAAGGATAAATTGAGATACAAATTTATAATGTTTTAATGCCTTTTTTACTCAGAGTAATTGTCATATTAGTAAATTATTGGTGAAATTATTCAGCATGTTCTAAATCAAACCATAAAAACCAATTGTATGAATTTTTAATTTTTGAAAAAAACCTTAAAAGACATATTTGATGATTTTATACTGTGCATTCTGTATTGGATTAAACTATTAGTTTTCTTAAATGGGATAATGCTTTTATGATTATAGAGAAGATTTATTTCACTTGATGAAAGATATTGAAGTATTTCAGTATAGAATATCATGTCTTCAACTTACTCTCAAATAGTGTTTTTTTTTAAAAAAAAGGAATGTGTATCTATTTATGTATACATAGAATAAACAAATGTGATTAATGGTGATTTGAAGGGAAGGATATAGGTATTCACTGAATAGTACTTTTTTTTCAACATCTCTTAAGTTTAGAACATTCAAAATAAAAGTTGAGGAAACTGGTCAGAATTAGTAATACTTGAAAAATAACCAGTGAAAGGTAATGTTAGGCCTTGCCTGATTTTGTTCTTAAAAAATGGTAGTAAAAGGGAAATTATTTGATACACAATATATTCATTTCTCTGTGGCAGTTTCTATTGAAATTCGCCAATGTTAATTGGAATTTTCCCTTTCTTTAATCCTGTAAGCACATAAAAGAATAACATTTTTAATAGAAATTGTTCAGTAAGTATTTATATATAGATGCAACAGTTATACACCCCATAAAGTACTTACGAAGCTCTGGTGGCCTTGTAAGGAACCTGCACTGCAGTCTTAAATGTATACGGTTTGATTCTATGAGCTACCTAACCGGAGAGGACTGGGCAGTCTCCTGCCATGAGATTTACTGCCTCTGAAACCTGCTGGAGGGTCACCAGTGAGTCGGTTCCAACTTGACAGCAAACAACAACATAAACTGCTAAGCCTGTGTCTTCACAGTCTTAACAGATTGTAGAAATACACTGTTGTGCTTTATTAAGCTTTTAGTCTTTTTTTTGTTGCCCAAATGTTTTACATAGAATATATTGCCGTATTCTAAGTGAAATTTTTCTTTAAGTCTTATGCAGGTTCAGAGGTGTGAGTTGGTACTGATCCATACCTACCCTGTTGGTGAAGACAGCCTTGTGTCTGATCGACCTAAAAAAGAGGTAAATACAGATGTAATGAAAAGATCATTGAGAGGCTTTACATTAAAATGGTTGCATTGCCAACATATTCTACCAAGAAAATACTCAGAATTTTTTTAAAAAGTCTGATAGTAAAGTACCTGAGTTAATTCTTTGTTATAACTTTTATGGAATTTTTTTCTTTAGCCCATTTGTTAACATTTTGCTTTTAATTGAAGATTCAGTGTGACTATACACAGTTTGTATTTCAGCTACTTCAGTAGTTAATTCAATTCCTTTATACCTACTTTTCTGTAATAAAAATCTTTTCTTGCCTCATTAGAAAAGAAGTATCTGTTAATAAAAATACATTTATTTTACTTATCCAGAGGAAGTAGGGAAAATGTTAATATTCAACTTTGGTTCTACTCTTCACATTGATTTGGTCAGTTTTAAAGGAAAACATGAATCAGGTGATGATTATATGGGTTCCTGTCTCATAAAATTGTCAAAGTTGTTGTGTACCATCTAATTGGAAGTAACCCATAGCTGACCCATGGAGCAGCTGGTGGATTTGAACCATGTACTTTTGGATTGCTAGTGCAACACCTTGCCACTCGGCCACCAGAGCTACCTTTCAATCAATAATGCACATTAAATAAGGTTGCTGTATACCTTTACATATTTGTATTTAATGTGCATTTTGTTATGGTCTGTTTTTTTTATTTACAACTGTTTCATGCAAACATTGCCTTGACTTACGTATTTTTGTAGTTAAGTGGAGTTTTTTTAAAATGCATTTATCTCTGTACTATATTTGTAGGTGATCTCCAGTCTTTAGCTCCTTATTTTTAAATTTATCTTCCTCTTGATAATGTAACTATATGTTGCCTTGACCGTATGATGAAACATTTATTTACAATAGTTTTTACTCCTGAAATGAGTAAATAAATGTTTGTATTATCTTGATATGACTGACTTTTGGCTGTCATTTTATTGATGATGAAATGAGATGCTTGTGATTTCCACAGTCTTTCTCAAAAGCAGTTTTTCTTTAGGGTTTGTTCTCAAGATGTAGGGGTTTTTTTCCCCTATGAATACCTGTGAGCCACTTTAAATCCATTCTGCTTACAGATAAGGTAAAAATTTCAAATAAAAGAATATCTGATTTTGAGTTTTACAAGGACAGGCCTGAATCTATTTGTTTACTGCTGAATTGTCAAATAGTTCACACATTTTTAGCATTTGATAAGTTTTGCTTAATACATATTTGTTGACTTCTGGTATGATGGCTGACTTAATAGAACTGGAAACCAGTATTTTTCTAACAAGAACATCCAAAACCAAAGAAAAGAAGCTATAGATGATCATCTGGCATCCTGAAATGTGGAGGAAATGACTGAGGGAAAAATCAGTAACACCAGAGGTAGGAGGCTATGGGAGAGCACTGATTGCAGAGACAAATGACGTAATAAACATGAAGGAACCCAGTGGTATACCTCCAATTTGAGCTCTTCTCTGGGAGGCTCCAGTGAACCCTGCAGAGACCCAGAGTTGCAGCAGCAGTTTATTTAGTCTGGCTTACATTTCCTTTCCTCTCTATTCACCAGCTAGATCAGTAAAGTGATCTTTCATCTGTATGGCTAGGATTTCCCATTACCTCTTGTCAGCTTCGGGTGCTGGTAGTGCCTACATAGGCACAGTGGTTCAGAACTCCAAGTGAACATTGACTGGCATAGCTCTAAAGACCAACCTTTAGACCATGACCACTTCTAATTTTGTCACCCACTATGTGTCCTTTCACAGAGCCCTTTGGCTCTGTGTCATACTTGAGTTGGCTCACTACCCAAAGGCAGGTAGTTGTAGTTCAATCCCAGATAAAATATTACTAAGAAGAAAGACAAAGTTGAAGCCTCACATTTCCTGATTTGTAAAAACGATGGACAGTCTGAGTGCAATGGTGAATGACCGGAAGACCTAAGTCTCCATAAACTTTCATTAAATTTAAAAAAAAGATAGTCTCCTTCTGTGCACTTTATAGCCTCTGAAAACTAAAAATGAAATTAGGAAAACAATACTCATTACAATAGTTACCCACTAGATGAAATAGTAAGGAACTCTGATGGCCTAGTGGTAAGGAGCTCAGCTGCCAACCTGAAGACACATGCTTCAAATCCCCAAGCCTGCTCCGTGGAAGAAGATGGACTTAGGAATAAATATAACAAGATACAAAAGATCTATATAAGGAAAATCACAAAACATGCTACAAGAAACTAAAGAGAGCTAGGTAAGTGGGAGACTATATTATGCTCATGGGTGGGAAGACTTAATATTGTGAAAATGCCATTACTGCTAAAAAAATTTATGGATTTAATACAATCCCAGTTCCAATCTCTGCACCATTCTTCAAAGAGATGGAAAAGCAGTTACCAACTATGTATAGAAAAGAACAAGATTCCTCATGAACAAAATTCTACTGAAGAAGACAGTTGACGGCCTTACACTTCCTGATTTCACAATCTACTATACAGCTATAGTAATTAAAACAGCATAGTACTGGTACAATGACAGGCACATAGACTAATCTGTACAGTTGAGAACCCAGAAATCAATGTATTGAATTGTGGCAGTTCATTTTTTAGCAAGGAGTCAAAACCCATTAAATGGAGAAATGATAACCTCTGTAACAAATGGTACATGCAAATAGGGTATCTGCAGAAAACTGAAACAAGTTCCATTCCTCATACCTTGTACAGAAATTCAAAGTGGATCAAAGATCTAGGGGTAAAACCAAAAATTTCAAAGATCATCAGAAAAAAAACAGGAACAAATTTAGGAGCCCTAACCTATGCCCTAAATAGGCTAGTAAACAGCAAGAAAATCACAACTAGGAGAGGATAAATGGGACCTTCTAAAAATGAAATCTCTGTATACATAAAATAAAAATTTCTCCAAAAGGGTAAAAAGAAAGCCTAACAGACTGGGAAGAATTATTTGACAGTGACATACCTGATAAGGGCTCATACCTGAAATATATAGAAACCTCTAGCACCTCAACAAGAACATGATCAAACACCCATCTAGAAGATGGGAAGAGAATATGAAAAGATTCTTCACCAAAGGAGATACTAAGATGGTCAACAAACACATCAAGAAATGCTCATCATCACTAGCTTTTTAGAGAGATACAATTCAGAATCAAAACAATGAGGTAACTCCCTTTGTAATAGTAAAGTTCAGAAGTGCAGTAAACAACAAATGCTGGGGAGAGTGCAGAGGGATTAGTGCTCTGATACATTGTTGCTAGGAATGTAAAATAATGCAACCATAATGGAAGGCAGTTTGGCAGTGTCCTTAAACTGTTGAAAATAGTATTTTTTTCCCAGTTATTCCACTCCTAGGAATGGATCCCAAAGAAAGAGCTGCGACACAAACAGATTTATGTACACTCATGTTAATTGCAGCGTTGTTCATAATAGCAAAAAAATGGAAACAACCCAATTGCTCATTAATAAATAAATGAATGATTTAAAAAATTATGGTACATTTGCACAATGGGGTTCTGTGCAGCACTGAAAAATACTGAGGAACGCATATGAAACACTACACCACATAGATGAGTTATGCTGAGTGAAATAATCAAAAGGGACAAATACTGTACAAGACCACTGATAATAAAACTAGAGAAAAGTTTACGTACGGAGAAAGTCAAATAGGTTACCAGAGGGGTGAAAAGCAGAAAAGTAATAGACAATGAACACTATTGGAATGGATCAGGGGGAGAACATTCTAGAACAAATATATGATCAGATACTGTATTTTTATTAATAACAAAATGTGGATGATTGACAATAAAAAACCCCACAAAATATACTGTGTAAACGTTCATAAAATTATAATTTTTTTAAAAAGACCCCTCTAAGATTAATATCCAAGGAACTGTTTGGTATAAACCTGATTGTTGTTGTTGTCGATTGCCATCAAGTTGAGCATGACTCATAGTGACCCTATGAACAAAAGGCCTGATGTCTTTTCTATAACTGTTGTGATTTCTGCAAGTTCATCGAGTTTCCAGAGGCATGTTGTTTAGAACTAGATGCCACTCCTTTCAAACCTGTCTTTAACTTGGAGCTCCACCAAACACTGCCCTCCATGGGTAACCATAATGGCATTTGACAACCCAGTAGCACATGGTTTGGCATCACAGCAAACCTGGGTTACCTCAATACAGCATACTGACAGAAGAGTGCTGTACCCCTTAGAAGAATGGTCCTCCAAAATAATAACAGCCAACCTTTCAATTCGAAGGCCCTCCCCGAGATCTTCTTGTCTCTAAACAAAAGGCTTAAGTAAAAACAACCAGTATAGTATGTTGTTACACACACACACATACACACACGTATATATTGAATTGGTAAATGAATGAAAATTTATCCCTAAAAGAATTATCCTAATTTCTGGACTTTTTTTTTTTTTAACAGATTCAAAAAAGTAAAAATTGTTTTATTAGTTATAATAAGTAGTGATTGATTATGATATATTAATATTTTGAGATGATTGGTTGTTATGTGCCGTCGAGTCACTGGTGACTCATAACGACCCTATGTACAACAGCCCTAAACCCTGCTCTATCCTGTGCCAATCGCACTGCCTCTGACACACCCATTTCTATTACCCCAGTCACTGAATCAATCCACCTCATAGAGGGTCTTCCCCCCTTATGCTGTCCCTCTCCAAGGACCTGTCCCTCCTTGCAACATGTCCAAAGTATGTCAGACGAAGCCCCAGAATCCTTGCCTCCAAGGAGCAGCCTGGTTTAACCCTCTCCGGGGTGAATCTGTTTTCTTGCAAGTTCGTGGTACATTCAATACTCACCTCCAGCACCACAGTTCAAAGGCATAAATTCTCCTTCTATCCTTCGTATTCATTGTCCGACTCTCTGATGCATAACAAGTGATTGCAAAGACTATGGCCTGTATTAGACACACCTTAGTCTCCAGAGTGACACCATTGCTCTTCAATACCCTGGAGAGGTCCCTAACAGCAGACTTTCCCATCGCAATATGTTTTTTGATTTCCTTGCTGCTGGTGCCAAGAGTGTTGACCGTGGAGCCAAGCAGACTAAAGCTGTGAATAATCTCACTCTTCACCATCCATCCTGATGCTGCCAATTGGTCCAGTGGTGAGAATCTTTGTTTTCTTGACATTGAGCCTCAATCCATACTGAAGGCTGCAGTCCTTCATCCTCTGCAGCAAGCGTTTCAGGTCCTCCTCAGTTTCAGCAAGCAGGGTGGTGTCATCCCTGTAACGTAAATTGTTAATAGATCTTCCACCAATCCTGACGTCACACTTCTCCTCATAGAGCCCAGCCTCTCGGATAATCTGTTCTGCATACAGGTTGAGAAGGTATGGAGATAGGACACATCACTGGCGTATACCTTTTCCAATTTTGAACCATGCAGTGTTTTCTTGCTCTGTTCGGACAACTGCCTCTTGGTCCAAGTATATAGGTTTTGCATTAGCACGATCAAGTGTTCTGGGATTTCCAATCTTCTCAGAGTCAGCCACAGTTTGTTTTGACCTTTTTTTTTGAGATGACCTGTCTTTTAATCTCCTGTAGTTGTCCCCGGTCTTAAGCAGTGAAGTCCACAGTGTGCGTGCAGGACGGCATCTTGCTACCAAATTGAATATTTTAGTGCAACAACATTTTGACTTGGCTTCAACTACTATTACAAATATTCCTATGAAGGTAAGTGATTCTTTTCCCTGCTATCTTGAAGGCTTTCTACTTTTAAGTGTTTGTTTAACATGTATTATTTATTTTAATTTAAACTTTACATTTTTTCCCCCTCCACATTGTATTTTTTTGTTTTGTTTTACTAGCCCACATTCAGTGTCTTTGACCAGGTCAGTAAATATTGAAAAACACTAAAGAAGGATCACAGAACAAAACACCGTATTTTTCTTTATGTAATTAGAATATGACCTTTTAAAAAATTCTCATTAAAATATAATCTGGCCTCAATTTTTTTTTCTGTGATTCTTTTTCTGTCAGTTGTGTCATTAGATTTTACTTGCTTTGTGATCTAACGGGTCTTTTATTTCCTATAGTTTTGGTTTTGCCTACTTGATATAAAGGTGTTTGAAACTAATAGATTCTCACTAGAGAAAAGATCCTCAGTTTTATCATTGTTTACAACTCTGTAACTGAATGATGTAAATATGAGTTTTAGGATTTTCTTAATTGTAGGATTTCTATAGGAATCTTTTGCAAACAGTTATTATGTTTCTGGAACTAGCCCAGTCTCTGGCATGTAGTGAGTATGCTCCTTTTTATTGAGTAGACTTGAATTGTATTATGTCTAAAATTACATGGTAGCTATAATATCTAAAAATTCAAATTGGTTTTCTTACGTACTCCAGTTTCGGTTTTTTGCTCCCATACAGTGAACATGAGAAATACTGTCTTTTTATTATTTTCCTTCTAATACCTTAGGCTAATTCTTTGGTAGAAATTGTAGGCTTCCTCAGTAGACTCTTTTAGATAGAGAAACAATTACCAAGTAAAAAAGCATAATTTAAAAAAAACAACACTGCTGCCTTTGAGTTGATATAGACTCATAGCAACATAACAACACTGTAAGGCAAAGTCTAAGCTCTGTATAAAAAGTTTCTATGGCTCTAATCTCTATGGAAGCAATTGGCTCTTCTTTTTCCCTTAGAATGGCCAGTGGAGTTAAATGACTAATCTATTGTTCAGCAGCCAAGTGCTTAACCACTGAACTACCAGGACTCCTGTTTTCTTGTAACATTAGCTAAAAAATGCTTGATGCACTATAGTATATATATCTTTCTCCATATAATTTTACTAGATAAAAAAAAAACAAAACAATCTCAGGGTGACAAATACCTCACCCGATAACTTTGACTGTATTTGTTTGCTCCTGGTGTGATTCTCCCTTCGATCTTGGTCCTTTTTGGTAAATATATAACGTTGAGATTCCTTCCTCCTATTGAGTGAAAACAAGTTGCCACACTTGTTTAAACGTCTGTATTTACTATTTTGTATAGTGTTTGTTTGCCTTACATATTTAAAGATGCTTTTTCCTTTAAACAACTCTTTGTTATTTAATTTGTAGAAGTTATTATAATTATATTTTATGTAAAAATGTTGTCAAGACAATGCATCTAGAGAAAAAATAAATTCCTGAAATTTCTGGATTAGGCATCTGTACTAATTCTGACATAATGAAAAATTATTTATTTTATTAGCAACATGTAGCCAGTAGTTTTTATATATTCATATTCCTATGGAAAACTGTGCATCTTTAAATAGATTAGTTACTGAGCAAACTATTCATTATTATTTCCAATTATTATTTGGTGTATTTGATATTATTTTAAGCAAAAAGAAAAATGAATAATTAATAATGTATTATTTTAAAAGCAAACCTGAATTACTTCAACTCTTTTAAAATTTGCTTTAAGGAAGAACAACATGCTAACACATCTGCTAATTATGATGTGGAGCTGCTTCATCATAAAGATGCACATGTAGATTTCCTGAAAAGTGGTAAGTATGTGACATAGTGTTTTGTAAAAAAAAAAAAAATATTAATACTTCTGAGAAGTTTTTAAGTAAATAAGCCTGTTCAGTTGTTTTAGTTCAGCCCTTCCATACTTATCTGATGGAACCTAATGTTACGTAGAATTTACCTGGAGAAAAACAGGCTAATGGAAAAAAATGTAGAGAAAGCTAGCCATTATCATCATGTCATTCCTTCTGTTTTGCAAGCAAGAAAGGAGAGAGACCTGAAACATGTATAAAAGAGTTATATAAAGTAAGTGTTCTGAAATTTAGGGCACTCTGGTGGCTTAGAGGTAAGGAGTTGCACTTCCAAGCTAAAGGCATGTAGTTCAAATCCTAGGATGGGAAGTTTCCATTCATGTGACTAACTAGCTCTGAAAATCCACTGGAGGGTCAGCTATAAGTTGGTCTTAATCAATGGTATATAACAATATCTCTGAAATCGAAGCTTGTTTTTCTCTCTAAAGATTATTTCAGTCAGTATACCTCACCTTTGAAATAATTTTTTTTGGCCACTTTGTTAGCATGCTTAAGAAATAAGATCAGAGTTTAATTCCAGTTCAGTCACTGACTTATAAGCCCTCATATGAAGTTTCCAGACTTCATTTTGTACACCTATAAATTACAGGTGCTGAACTGTATAAACTAATACTCCATCCAATCCTAAAATTAAATGAAATTGCAAGATTTGAGGGACGTTCTAAGTGCCTTTAGGTTTTGATACCTAACTAATCCTTTAAAAATATTACCTATGTAAAGTGAAGCTATCAGAGAATGAAATTATTTACTTTGATCATATTGAATACATGCTAGGGATTGAGTTGTGACCCCCAAAGTATCAATTGTAGTTCCTAACCTCTGTGCCTAGGATTATAATCCCATTTTGGGAATGGGTTCTTTTTTATGTTATAATGAGACAGGATAAGTGTAAAATATATCTTGAGTCAACTTCTTTTGATATAGAAAGGAGATTAAACAAGTGAGAGAAGAATGTCCATGTCCAGCTACAGGAAGATTGTCCAGGAAGAGCAGCTCAGAAAAGAAAAACATTTTTCCAGAGCAGGTAGAAAAGGGAAAGCCTTCTGTAGAGCCGGAATCTTCATTTAGACTTCTATCTTCCTAAACTGTGAGAAAAGAACTTTGTGTTTTTTTAAAACCATCTATTTGTGGTATATCTGTTAGAGCAGCACTAAATAACAAGACAGAATTTGACAATAAATGAGTGGAGTAATGCTCTAACAGATAGCTAAAGTATAAAAGCTGTTTTGGAATTGAGTAAGATTAGAAGATTATCAGGTGCCTACTAGAGAAGCCTAGATTATGTGAAGAGATGCGAAGTAGAATGATAGATACCAGAGGCAGTTTTTTGAGAGCTCAGAAGGAAGTGGTAACTTATAAAGAAAATCTCTCTCATTTTACAGCATACATATGGTGCCATTAACAGAATGTTGCTAGTTTAGCTGCTAAATGTGCTTCTAAAAGGCTGTAAAAGGAGCAGATGAGATGTGAGAGTGGTAGATGAACCTGACTTCTACCATTTTCATGAAGGGGAACTGTCCCAATTGTTAATAGCCATAGCAGCAAACAGATAGCTCCTTGGTCAGACATGCCACCTCCCCATGCTCCTGCACCTCTTTCTACTAGTCATTCGAGACCAGTGTTTATTGTTGACTCACAGATATTGTTTATTCACATTTGTGGGGTACTGAGAGTGGGGTTTATTAGGAAAGTAAGTTGGAGTGTGGGTAGGCAAAAGTATTACCCAATGCAAGTCTTAAGTTTTAGTCTGGTAGTCCCAAGGCACAATTCACCAGTTAATCCAGGGTCCAATTTCAGTTTAGCAGTCAGTTTTTTCTTCTGTCATCCAGCAAGAACAGTAAAATGTTTGACTGTGACCTTTATCTCGGCTCCATTGGTAACGTCTTGCCACAGTTTTTCCACAGCAATGCCAATCCCTTCACCACCATCACCAGGGTCTCACTCTGACCAAGATCATGCTCCAGCCTCACTCAAGGCTTGCTGCCTAGTGTGGGAAGCATTCTCTTATTCTGGTCCCAAAACTGTTGATTTGCAAGACCGTGTGTCTACAGTTAGGGTGGCTGGAGACCAGAGGGGACCAATACAATAGCTTGAAAATTCAACTTTTAAGCTAACACTGCAGCCTACTCCCTGGCTTTTCCAGCCATTATTTCTTTTTTTCCTTTAAAAGGTCTATTTTCTTTTCCATTTTATTTTTATTACTTGTGTGTGTGTACCGTCAAATCAGATTTGACTGGTACAAGAGGAGATTGTTCCTCCTTCTCCAGCAAAGCATCTGGTGGATTTGAACCGCTCACCTTTGGGATTACAGTGCATCTTCTTGCCATTTGGCCATCAGAGCTTGCCCAGCCATTATTTCTTATTTTCTGAAATACCAGACTTCCTCTTACCATCATGTGCATTTAGGGAACTACGTAAGCCAGCTACTTCACTCATTATGTCTTAATGCCTGCATTTTAGATAAGTCAGTTTCTCATTTGCCCAAACCTATCAAAAAACAAGAACTCTGAGGAAACAAGCATAACCTTTTCTCTGAAGAATCTTCTGTTATATTTGAAACTTTCAGCATCTCCATCTATAACCAAAGGTCCAGTCCAGAGCAAACCGTCAGATAACAGTAATCAGCACTAGCTCAGAATGAAACATCTTTTCTTCATCTGGTTGGGTTTTAGTCAGTATATCCCTAGCCATTGTGGCTAGATCCAAATAGACATCAGCCACAAACAGGAGTCCACACTTCCTACTATGTTTCAGACTGGCTGGTCCCCTTACTCAGCCTCAGTCCCATAGTGGCCAAGTCAGCATGTCAGGGATCATCAGGATTCCTGTTCCACAAACCAATAACTCATCTTCATTTATCCATTCATCGTGCTAGGTGGACCATGCAGAAGGAACCAAATGCAGCCTGTCTCTTCATTACTGTGTATCTCCCACTTCTACTTATCACATGAAACCAGGTGGTCACCACAAGTTGAGCATACTAACCAGCTTCTTTTAACTTTAAAGTCCTGGATAAAGAGTTCTCATACTTCCTCCTTCATCTCACAAGGAGATCCAGGTGGTCAGCGTGAATTAAGCACACTCATCAGCTTTACTTTGCCACTGTTCATTGGCAAAGTCTCTCTTTTTCTACTTCTTTCAAATGTAACTCACCTCAGGAAGTACTGGGTAGGGCTTAATCTTTCTTAGGGTAAGTTCCACACTCTATGCAAATTTCTAATACTTACAACAGACATTTGTTTAGAGTAGATTTTCCCTTTTTGAATTTCTGATTAATGTCCAACTGACTTATATTTTTCCTCTGTATTATGTGTGTCCCATCATTATAACATTCATTATTCATTAACATTGCTACAGCAATATCCATCAAGTATATCATACTTTGAAGAAAAATCGTAATCATTTTACAGTATATCTTAATATTACTACATGAACAAAAAAATCCACAATCCAGAAAGAGTAATATTCGTAAAGTTAAATAAACAAAATCTTAAAACATAAACCTTTCAAGGAATTAAGTTTCAAGTTCATTCTCTACCCTTTTACCTCAAGCCATGAAGTAGCTCTCAACTTTTCTTTCTTTCTTAAAAGCAGCAAAAGTAAAAAAAAAAACCAAAAAAAAAAACCAAAAAAAAAAACACAAACCCAAAAGTAAAAAAAAAAAAGCAGCAAAAGTAATCTTTGGGGTTGACTCACCCACTTTATAGAAAGAAACAGTAGCCATTTTAACTGTACATCTTCCCAAGCCCCCACATTCACAAAAGCAAACCTTATTTCTGAGTGTCTGAAACAACAAATCCCATTTCTGACACTATTTGTAAAAGGAGTGGATGGAACATGGTCTGACTTCTACTCACTTTATAAAGGGAAACAGTCCCCATCAGTAATATCCATGGCAGCAAACAGCTGTGCAGTCAGACATGCCCACTCCCTATGCTCCTGTACTTCTTTCTTTCAGTCATTATTCATATTCAATATTCACTGTTAATTTACAAACTCTACTCACAGTTGTAGGGTTCTGAGAGTGATTTATTAAGAAATTAAGTTGGAGAGTGAGACAGGCAAAGAATATCATCCAGTGCGAGTACAGGTTTTAGTCCATAAGTCCCAAGGCACAATTCCTCAATTAGTCCAGGCTCCTATTTCAGTTTGGCAGTCAGCTTTTTCTTTCATCATCTGGCAAGAACAGCAAAATCTTTAACTGTGGCCTTTATCTCAGAGATCCTCTGGTAACACCTTGCCATAGTTTCTCCCCAGCAGTACCACAGTCTTTTTCACCACCATCATCAGGGTCTCCCCACCAGGGTCTTGCTCTCACCAGGGTCATGCTCCAGTCTCCCTCAAGTCTTGCTGCCCACTGTGGGACACACTGTCTCACTCTTATCCTAGTCCCACAGCTACTGATGATTTGGAAGACCATATTTCTGCAGTTAAGGTATCTGGACACCAGAGGAGCCAATGTAATGACTAGAAAACCCATGCTTTTAAGCTAACACCACAGAGTCTTTAAAAGAAAGCAGTGAACATGTAATGGGAGAGTGTAGGAAAGTTTTGTGCACTAATAGTAAAGTGTCTGACTTATGTTCAAATGTTTGGTTGAAGGTAGAACTTGAAAGTGATGAACTTGGCTGGCTGATAGTTTGGGAGTTTTTTGTTTTTATTTTAAGCAAGATCTTGAAAGGTACATGATTTCTCTGTGCCACTTACAGAAAAATGCAAGAGGAACGTTGTTAGGTGTCATTGAATCATTAAAATTCCTAGCAATTCTGTGAACAGTAGATCTGAACCTTGCCTTATCCTGTACCCTTCTCACTATCTCTGAAATGCTTGACCTATTGTTGTAGTTACTGTGTTAATCTTTCTTGTTGAGTCTTTCCCCCCCTACCCCTATTCACAGCATGTCTTTTTCCAAGGAATGGCTGGCCCCTCATAGTAACATTCCCAAA